CTGAAACCGCAAATTACCGCCTGCTAACTTGAATTTCGAATTGGAACGGGATTTACGACCCCGAAAAGTTCCACCAATTGCTAAGAAAGAATTTCGGAGGCCAGTGGCCAGAAAACATCAGTCCACGGCTTAAAAATAAATATCTTGGAAGCTACCAACACCTCGACAGGTTGACGTACCTTTGCGTCTTTACACCCCGTCAAAGTAGATTGCGAATCTAACGCTTTCAATTATTCCATAAATGAATCTAAGATCACGATCCATTATGAAATTTATTCCACAATGCTTTTCAGTAGAATTAAAGCCATGCCCTTTTACAAGCTCCACCATCATCAGAATATTTTTCGACAAAGTTTATAATAATTAAACGGACAAAAGAAACAGAAAAATAGTGTACTTTGGATTGTAAATGAAGAGATTTTGGCATCGCGTCTAAAATTCACTTTCTTTTACTGAAGATTTCCGCAGTTTAGGTTTCTTTGTATTATAGTTGAACACATAAAATTCCTTTCCGATTTTCTAAAATTTCTTCCTTAGAAATAAAGCACAGCAATAAATCCCACGAACCCCATGATGAGAACCCAGTTTTAATTACAACCTAAATTGTGTTAGAAAAATCTTTGAAATATCGAACTCACCAAAAAAATGCTGTTTGCGATACTTTGGGAGCAAAAATCGCGAAATCTTAGATATTATTGGAGAGACTTTTGTTTGCTTACCCGACTTCTCCCATCTTTCTTCATCCATGACAAGAATTTAATGAAAGTGGACATCTTCGATGCAAACACGGAATGTGCAAACATGCGAGCTGAATTGCTTCTCCATTTCAGAGGAAATTACGCCACGCTTCGAGATGCTCGGAATATTAGCACAGTTCTCTATATAGTAAGAATTCATAAGTATCTTTTTTCTTGAAAATGAATCTTCTCGATTGATCTAAGAAGCTGAAACATTCCGGATGACAGCATCGAGTCCGCGTTTCTCCGTGCGATTACTTTGAGAATTTGCGGCATTGCAAAATAAAGTTTCTGATGATAGTGTTGCATCAATATAAAATTTCTAAAACAAGGCTTGCTATTTAGTTCCAAATACAGCAATGAAATATCCTTCTGGGCATTTTTCAATTTTCAACGTCTGGTGGAAGCCACATGTTTCATCAGTGAGCTCAGTCTCATATACCCAATCCTCCAAGTTCAAAGTTCCGTGATGAAAGAAGCTTTTAAGCAAGTCGAAACTTTTCTTAATTTGCAGGTACTGTAGTTGGAGAGAAAAAATCAATCCAACGAAAATATATTTCCACGATAGAGTTAAAAATACTTTTCCCTAGATGATCACCACGCTTCCCATCCTTGCAATTATTGAATACAGTATTATCATAAATGCAATAAAAATATGTGATTCAACTAAAAAATGCAATTTAATTTAAAAACTACGTATCAATACTCAGAAGTGATTCTCACCTTGACGCAAAAATAAATGTAGATGAATTATTTCTTTATAAATTAGTATGACCTCCCTAACCTTCCCGAGTTTATTACTGAACCTACATGAGGATAAAATTAAGACATGAGGAAGACATGTGATGGAAAAGGCACATGATTGATAGTAACTTTTCTTCACCCTGCACACAATGAATGTAATCCTGTACATTATATGTTGCAGAAATAAATTCATTCATCTACATTTAGAAACAAGGCTTTTGAAGTCACTGTTAGCACCAAAAGCTTGTGCATCAGTGAGATAACAATCTGGCATGAAGGTTTTCCAGATTCTTATCACTGAAGAAAAGTTAGGTTTCGAAAAGTGAGAATATCTCAAGATCTGTTAATTTGGTCATTTTTCATATGATACAAAAAAAGTTGAAGAACATCTTTGGCTTCAATTTAGGCTGTTGTGAAATTTCCTAAGTATAAAATTCGCGGAGTTATTTGCTTCGGAAGTTTGCGCGTTGGGAATTGCGCCATAGGCAAAGCATCTTTTCTTTGCTGATTTTATTTCTTTTTGAAAGCAAGTTTTTATTCCACAATGCGAGATTGCATTTGCTGATTGTGTGTGTGTGATTGTTGTCTTCATGAAACCTGTGATCAGAGACAATAATAAGAGTCGACCTCTTTCAACATCTAAGGAGTGAGGATGTGAGCTTCTACATCTAAGGAGTGAGCTTCTCTTAATTTCTAAAGCCATAATGTAGTTTTGTACGTTTAAAATTAAATTCCCTTGGAGGCTGGGTAATTGCCTCAGCACTCAGATGTCTCTTGCATCTGGAATATTTTTAATGCAGCTTAAAATCTGCAAAAATTAGAATCCTGAAATTATATTCAGAGCATGGGTTTTCTCAATCCAAAAAATTCACGTACTCTATCATCCACGTCCTTTCCAAATTGCAACGACATTCAAGAGAAAACAGAAATCTTGACACAATTTCAAGGAACCACTAGAAATGTAATTGTACGTCCTATTCATATATAGAAGAGTGACTGTCGAGTTCAGCGCCAAGGCAACCCGCGGCCCACAAATTAGATCAAAGAAAGCCGCACCATGGTGGACCATCGCAATAGTGTTGTTGGGAATCCCACGTCATTGTCTGCGAATCCTTTGTTTGACATGACAGTTGGAGTTGAAGGAACATGGGACATTAAACAGATTCTTTATTTGTTGTATTTAATCGAATAACACGTACATCCCCCGCCCAAATAAAAAGTGAAAAAGGAGGGTACGCGTCATAGGCAACTATTTTACAATTTTTATCCGAATTTTATAATTTCAAGTGCACGCCATATTTGATTCTATAAAAAAAATGCGAACCCGTTTTAACAAAAAATGAAAAGAACGAGATTAATAAAATTCATGCTCAATTTCAGTCAAAATCCAAATATCAGCCCAAAGCTGAAGCTACATATAAATATATAGTATAAATATATAAAATTACAAAATGAATAAAATTAAAACTATACAATTTCCCATGAGATACACGGGCTATTTTTTAGACACTAATTCACCAACAATCCACAACGATTTAGCCGAAATTATAGTCTCCGGATAAAAATAAATTTTCCGATTTTAATACAATATCATCATTGCTCCAGATCACGTACTTCATAAAAATTACAAGAAAAGTAACGCCATAAAGCTACAATCTCCTCCTGAAGCAGAAGCATGTTCATGAAGACTAATAAATGCAGAAGAGGCGTCATTCAATAATTTATCCTCGCAAGACGGACGACGAAAAGCTTGCTTTGTGAGTGCAGAAGACATTTATATACTTCGGGATCATAAGAAAAATAAATTTTGCGTTGTTTCTTTCCCGGAAAAGCCAACATCACTCGGATTTCATCGTCTGCACGAAGTCGTCTTTAACGAAGCCTTACAAAAAAAAAAAAAAATTTGCTGTACGATGCGTCCGGAAATCATTTTTCATTCGGACTCGTATAAAAAAGTTTTCCGCTGATTAATAAAAAAAAATACAGTATAAAAACCGTTTCCTCGAAGAACCCCCGAGCTTTCTTACTCCCATATATACGAACTTGGCCCCGGGAAAGTAAGGGGTTTGCTTTACAATATCGTGGCTGGAGAATGTCATCCGCAGGGGTCATCGTGGGGCCCACACGTGCTATGGGTGCGGGAATGAGTTGGTGTATGGGGTGCTGATGCTTGCAGCTGCTGGGGGTGATTGTTAACTGGGCAGGCTCACCAGGGAGTGTCGCAACTGTGCGTCAGCGACAAATACGTCGCCCCCAGGTCGTGCAGCATCCGCAGGACCCCAAGGCTGTTCCCCAGAGAATGTCCTCCTTCCACGCCGATAAGACTCGCTACTTTTCCTTCTGCGTGGATCTGCGGGATTTCTGCTCAAAGAAAAAGAAAAAAGAAGGAAAAACAAGAGACAAGCTGTAGAAAAAATAAAGATAAATGGCAATGAAGAACTGCCGATCTACAGCATACAATGTACAGTATGTCCATCAGGTGTTGATTCACGCGTCGCCATGCTGCTACTTTTACACAGAAAATTCATGCAATTGTAATGCTTCTATCGAAGCATTCTCAAGAATAATATTCCTCCATCCATTAGCATTTCTTTTTCGGAATTTCGAACCAATTTTGAAGCTAGGGATTTTCCGCCTAATTTTATTTTATTAAGCCACGTTGAACATGGGTGTATACAGTTCTTCACCAAATTGTTCCACATGCAAAAAAACAAACAAAAAACAGTAGGAGCACTCGATTTGTAGACAGTATGGTAAAATCAGCTTCAACTTGAAAATAACTTTTTTTGATACTTTCTTTGAGTTATTATATGAAGAGAAGAAGGGAAATCATATTTCTCCATTTCGAGGAACAAATTGCTGTCAAACAAATTTCCTCTGCCAGCCAATTCTCGCCTTTCAAGTGAAATATTCTGTCAACAATATACTTGAAAGATTTGTTCAAATTTCATACTTACGATACTCATAATGCGTTCAGTAAAACACATTTAAATGTAAAATAATTCGTTTTTCTTTTTGATTTTCTTCAAAATCTAAAAGCTTTCTCTCCCATTGAATCTGAAACTATTTTTATTAAAAAAAAACCATGCAAGCCCTTCCAGTTCTTAATTTCCATGTTTTTAGTTTTTGTTTTATCCAATTGAGTTAGGTAAGTAGTAACATTCCCCAGGCTAATGGTGCCCTTGCCTGGGGGTTTGTTTATACAGTGTGTCTGCAAAGACCTATATATACATTCAAAGTGCTGTTGAATTTGACGTGAGATGCTTATTTGTTTTACCTTTTTTCGTTTGTTTTGCCACCGCCAATGTGTTCAATAAACTTCATACGTTTGTACAATTCTTTGCGTATTTGGAATATATTTTTACATTAATTTCCTGCAATTTTCCCCGATGAGTATCATTCGAAAATAACGAAATTTCTTGACAGTCAACTTCGATACATGCATGTGCCGATTTAAATACATTTTTCCTCCCCTTGAGTAATTGAAACGAAGAAGGTGCCAGTTGAAATTTTTTTATCGTACAAAAAATCCAGCTCCAGACATATATTTTTTTCAGGAAATTTCTTCACTTCTTGGTGACGACCAGCATTTAAAATGATGCCCAGTATTCACGTCATGCCCGAGATCATATCCCATCCGGATTAATTCTGCAGGATTTCACTGAGACAATAAAGGATAATTTCCTTTTCGGATTTGTCAATCCACCCCCGAAGCCTCTGACATGACATGGAGGAAACATCCAACTACGAAAGCCGTTCGGCTTATTTGCACGTAATCCGTGCCAAAAAAAAAAGAAGAAGAGAAAAGAAGAAGCAGAAATAACACGAGGGCAAACAATGTGTCGACCAAGCCGTCAACCGCATTGTCGCAATTGTTTGCGGAACAGATGAAATTCTCGTCTCGGCCACTTTGCTACATTCGAAGATACACGAACAAAAGAAATAATGTTACTTGTTACGGCTGATTCAAAAATGAGCACAATCATGTTTCTCAAGACAATACGGTTTTCTGCATCGTTTCAAGCCTCACTCCGTCAGCGTTCATTTTCCAGCACTAGAACATTTGCATTTGAAAATATTTTTTTATGTCATCCTGGGCCCATTTAATGAAATAATTCAATGCTATTGAAATTCAGAAAAAAGTGCATTGGGAATTAATATACTGTATAATTTAGGCTGAGGTTCCATATGGTGGAACAGAAACTGCTTTTGAAAAGGATCTCACGCAAATTACTCAAGAGAGATCACTTTGATAACAGCATGAGATTGTAAATTCAAAATTTTGTATGAAATGATCTCAACAGAAAGGATGTTTTAAAAAATTAGAATAAATAAGTGAGACAACTTTCCCTCCAAAAATTGCAAACTTGTTGACTTGATGAGGAGAAAAAGAATCATTTTTTAATTTCTAGATTGAGGCAGATTTCAGCTCAACTGACAAAGTTCTGCCCTCTTGAAGGACAGAAAGCAAAAAATAAATCTTTTAAGGATACACGTTCCAGTTTTTAAGCACTTTTCTCCGGCTAATCCTCAACGGGAAAAATATTTGTGCACTGAAGGACTGTCAAATAAGTCAGCTAAACACAATTTTAAAAAATACAGTGCAGTAGTGGGATGTTGCAGCAATATTATGAAAAGAGGAAGCTTCGATTTTCTATGAATGTGAAATTCACTTCTACGCACGTCATTCTGCATCGCTGAAAATACTTGTCGGTCGCAGATGAAGAAAAAACAAATGAGAGAAAATAATTTTCTGCGCCAGTGGTCAAGACAAAAAGAGCTTTTGATAAAAGAAAATAATAAGAAATGCCTTTTTCCCCCAATAAACTATCCCCGAGCTTAACCAAACACCAGTTCACTCGCAGACATTCTCATCATCCCTTATTCGCAGATCCCAACCAACCAACCAGTTTTTTTCTCTTCTATTTTCTTTTCTCACTCGTGGATCGAAGAGGACGAATTAAATTCTCTCAGCTGCGTTCTAATTTCAAGAGAGCCGACACCAAACAAGGGTCCTATCCATATATAGGCCCCCTCCCTTTTTCTTGTAAAAGATAAGAAAAATAAATCGCATCCTACAGCATGTCCCTGTTTATCTATTTTGGTTTATCCGAGCCCCCATTTTATTCGCGTCGCAGCTGGCGAAATTCCGCAGCCAACGTCGAAAAACAGCTGCGAATTGCTTTTTCCCACTTGCGCCCAAACGAAACTGTCTCGAATGTAAATCCGTCACCCGAGACAGATGGGCTGAGGCTTTGCTGTATTCATCAGGAAAATTTGATAAGACGGAAAAAGCAATCTTTGTCAGCTAAACATAAATTCGAAAAAAATAGTTCAATACTTGGGGGGGGGGAGAAAACCCTCTCATAATCTGTCGAGGAGAAAGTGAAAAAGCAGAGAAGCACTGTATGCGAAATCGCGAGATCCTCGAAAAAAAAAATGTATCACCCATACCTTTTATCACTGAGAGGGTTCTCTATATATGTAGTGGTTCAAAATTACTTTCAATTACCAATGTCAAATGTAAAAAGCATCATGGCTCTCTATATAGCCTATGCTGTTATACGTGGATGTGATTCGCAAATGGATTGAAAGGCTTTCTATAGAGAGTTCCATTTCACTTATCATCCCTATATTTACAGTATACTGCATTGCTTTTTTTAAAAACCATTTTGTTGCTTTGAGATGGAAAAGAAGGCCAGTATTCAATTTGCAGGGTGCACTAAGAAAAAAAGTAGATATTGTATATTTGTTGATATCAAGACATTCGCGCATCTTTGCGTCAAACTTAAAGGACACCAAAGACAAATTTGCATGCAAGAATTTTTTTTAAACTAGGAAAACCAGCACTATTACAGGTTTAAAAAAAATACAGGAAGCTAAAATTGGCGATCTTCATGGCATTAAAATGTTGGATAAATACGTTGGAAGGATGTTGAACTTCAGTGCAAGGGTTCATTTGCCATATTAATTTCTCACTTCCTTTCAAAAAGCATCAAATTACATTTTTATTTCTCTTTTCTTTCCCTGGATAATATGGTACCCAAAATACCTTTAAATTTTTGCAATTGAAATTTGGTTTTTGAGTTCGGTAGGTTTATGCACAATTTTTCTGATGGGCATTCAGAAACACGGACTAAAGAAATAACATAAGGATATTTTTGAATTAGGTATGTTTGCATTAGCGAGTTAAACCATATACGAGGGTTTTAACAAAAGTTCTCGGAATATAAATTAAAGTGGCATATAATTGAGCTGAAAAAAATTATTCTTTAAGGAAACATATCCTTTGGCGCCAGAAAAAAATCAGCCCTATTTGAAAAACTTTTTACATTTTTTTGCAAAATTCAAAATTGAGCCAAATTTGCAAAATTGAGTTAAGAGTTTTGCTCTCCACTCAGAAGAACAGGCGCCCTTCCTGCAGATTTTGTTGTTGTTGCCAAGCTTTCCCCTTTGAAATTCTTGAAATCAACATGGCATTAATTCCAAGGGTTGCCTCCAGGTCTTCCAATGTAATTGCGCCATTTTCATCGACAGCCGCCTTCACAGCCGCCACATTGGCGGCTGTTGACATACTCAGTAGATACCTTGAATGATGGCCAACGAAATGACCCTTGTTTCATGCATGTGACGAGTTGCTCGGATATGAAAACAATTATCCGAAGTGAAAGGCACAACTTGCTCCGGTACAGGTGCTTATAAAAGTTCAGCACCATCTAAATTTTTGGCAAGTTGCAATTTTGGAAACTATTCTTTCTTTAATTCGAATTTGGAACGGTATACTTCAGGGACGCGTGGGTTTTTAAAAATTCCTCAGCGTGAAGAGATGAAACAATGTATCTTGAAGAAAGCAATCTTTTCCCTCCGATTCTGCGTAACATCAGGGTAAAAAAGTAACATAACATGTTCCCAGACAATTTTCTACTACCAGGGATTTATCGTACTAATCGTCCGAGACTCATAAATCAATGACAGTTGACATGTGGTGTCCAGCATGTGATAAGTTGATACACAGTGGAAGGAAAACTGTTTCCGAAAGTTACTTAGATGAGTTGAGTCTGCTTTCGTACTCATGGTTATCGTTTATATGGGACTCCATCCCTTATTACATTCGAAAGATCACATTCCGAAAATTTCGCGAGAGATTTACAAAGATGTCTTTGAAAAAAGGTGCGAGAAATTATTGAACTCAAAATTTTCAGGGATTGAGAATCATATGGAATCATGCCAGTGAAAAGCGAGATTCGTGACCTTTTTTTTCAATCTTTCGAGAAATTTCATAAATCTGAATCATATCATGGTATTAGAGAAGGTAAAGTACTCACCTTGTTTATCTCAAGTTTTCCGTACAATATTAAAATCCGACATGATTTAAGCAACCCAGGCCAAACTTCGCTGAACTTTTCGAACCCTCTCTATCCATGAATTGACCAGCCAAAACTCTTGACGTTTCCCTAAACACTTTTCCATGCAGTACAGCATTTTTCTTTGAAAACTGAAGCTGGGATCCCGAAGAAAATTTCAAAGCCATCAAGAATTGCGAAAGTTCTAAATTGCAGAGTTCGGGTTGTTCCGAGACAAGATGAAAAATACTCCACGTGCGATTTTCCCTGTCATATGCAGACGGGTTTAGAATCCGGCGGATAATATATCTGCTGAAATCATAGCATGGAATCACCAGTAAAATGTTCTCATCAGCTTCGAAAGAACTACTTCCCTTCGTCCTCTTTCTGCTACTTCCAAATCCCTGAGAAAATTGATCCGTATAGAAAAGGAAAGGAATCGGATGAGAAAAACATGAGAAGCATAAGAATTCTATACAGAAAAAATTCTATACTAAATGGGGAACTGTTCCCATTCGGCTCACAGATTAAAGGAGGCCCATAACTCACCGGAAAAGCAGATGAATATAAGAAACATAGAGGGTTTAGCAAAACATTCAGTTGTGTTTTTATCACGGCAACAAAGAAACCAAGGGAAGAAGTGTTTCTTTCAGGATTCATCAGCTGACCTTCTTCTACCACCTGCTCTTCAGAAAAGATTCGAATTATTGCAGGAAACATAACCTCATGTTTCGGGAATTTGAATGCCATTCAAGTATCCCACGAAAATATCACGAGGCATCGACAAATTTGGACATACATTTTGAAATTTCACTGAGTGCTCAAAACTAAATGATGCGCGAAAATGAAACGTCCCATAACTCTTTTCAAAAATTTGCTTATTCTTATATTAAAAAATCGTTTAATTTGATTGAATGCTCCTAATGCATGTTTAAAATTTATTTCCAGCAATCATAATTTAAGGTGTTGGATCATCATAAATTGAAGAATTTCGATCATGATTTTTCCCCCGAAATTTTGTTGCGTCCCGAGCGCTACGAAAAGAGTAATAATGCAGAAAATCGCAAACGATTAGGATTTTAAAAATTCAGTTTCATAAATTTTTTGATGAACATTCTTGAATCTGAAAGCATATGATGTCTGACCTTTCTTTCAACTCGCGGCAAAAATATTCTTCTCACGATTTTTAAAATCTTCTCAATTGATGGATTCCTCCTCCGAGATTCATAAAAATTACCTCCAATGAAAATTTGAGGTTGGATCATCATGGGGCCAACAATTCAGATCATGGAATTTTCGTCTAAATTTGGTCGGGTCACGAGCGATGATTTAGCAATATGCAGAAAATCTCAACCGCATTGAATTTCTAAATTTTAATTTAATCACTCTTCGATTAAGATTCTGGAATCACAAAGCATTATATCTCATTTTATCCTTTTTTTCAAGTTTGAAACGAATATAATCATATCGCGGCAGACGGCGAATCTCCATTATTGTCGAACTTTCAGGGTTGCCCCTCCGTCAGTGTCCTCAATGGATTCAAGAAACCACGCGTAGTCGCTGGAAAGTCGACCTGGAAACCTCTTTGGTTTCTCATTCACTTTCGTACCCAAGACCGAAAAGAAAAGAAGGGGAAGAAGACTCAGCAAAGCACAGGGTTCCGAGCATTAATCGCTGATTGAGAGGGCTTCTCAGCGGCTGTTTCAGCGAGCTTCTGCCGGCGCTGATGCAAATGGGTCGCACTTGCTGGAAAGAGCACTTACGGTTTTCGCACTGCCTAAATAAAAGGCAGCTGTGTACAGTGGTGTAGCACGAAAAAAAAGGAGAAAATTCTCCAGACAACCAATGTGCGTTTACCCCCAAAAAAATAAAAAGACGACGTCACGTTCTGTGTAAGTATAGCCCGCGTTTAGGAGAAAATACCGAAAACCAAACACGGACTGGAGTAAAATACGCAATAATTTCTTATACAATTGTAATTCCGCCCTTCAGCTTTTTTTTTAGTCTCGCTTTTCCGCAAATATTTTTCGAGAAGAAATTCTGTATTTATCATTTGCGTTGAAGTCTAGTGAATTAGGTGGAATTTATTTACAGTTGTGTTTCCATAAAAACCTATTTCTCAATAGTTTCACGAGATTAACAACAATTGCACCGACACGTACACATTTGATCGAATTTACCGAATGAAGGAACTTCAAATTACCGAATTTTCTGAATTGATATTTTGTAATGAATATAACTAGAATAAAATTTCCACCAATGGCAAAGAATGTACTAATTCACTAGAGAAATCTTCAAGTGCAGGGGATTTTTACTCTGAACCGTCAACATTTTACAAGAGCAGTTTTGAAAAAAAAAGAAGAGATTATTATTCAATGCAGAGAGAAATAATACGCTAAGTCCTCATCCCTGCCGAAAAGCTGACTAAAATATTTGACTAATATAGCACTGAAAACTTGACTCGAAATCTGCCTTCGCAACACTTGGCAGATTTCCCCCAAATTTATTATTTTTGGCTCTTTCCCGCAGTTCGACAGCAATTTCTTTCTCTCTCTCTAGATATAAAATGACATTGAACCTCTCCAATGTTTCCTTCTCCCTGCTTATACTGAACATGTCCCACGCCGAAGAGAAGAATGACACCGGAATTGTTTCTCTTCTTGTCAGGCATTTCAAAACCAGGAACAGAGATCCTCGCTTTGTGTACGGTATATAAAAAAAAAAAGTTTGAGGCCCTGAAAGACGCACAGACAATTGCTGAGAAAAGTTGAGCAGCCCGTCGGCTTCCGGGGCCAACACAGGAAAACTTCCTCCCTCGCCTTGTTAATCTTTTCATTGCTGCGAATTCAAGTCAGCCCTTCTTTCAGTGAAACTTTCTTGCATGCCTGTGCGATCCGAATTTTCTGACGTTTGAAAGTCTGCGAAAACCGTCTCGTTGCAGTTTGAACTCAGGAAGGAAAAAAATAAGGTCGAAGATGAATTTGCGAAGTTTACTCCGCTACCAAAGCAACTCTGTCTACGGGTGAACGTAAGTTTTAAAACATCCAAATAATGATGCGTTCTGTTAAATTACGTTTTTCAACTCTTTATTAAGGTAAAACTGCCGAAATTGCACAAGTATATCGTTTCCTCACGCGATAAAGTCCTGCCGCGTTCTGAACCGTACAAAAGTGCAAAGGCAAAGCGAGGCTTTGAAATCTTTCGCCTTTCCCTTTCCCTTTTTCATTTTTATTTTGCTCCGTGAAGGTACACCCTTAATAATTCGGCAGTTTTTTACTAAGGGCAAACTGCCGAAGAGTAAAAAAGAAAATAAAAAGAAAGAAAAAAGTTCGTAAAATACAGTAATGTCACATTGGAAGAAAATCATCCGAAGAAACTTTTGTGCTTTATATTTTTGACCCTGATGCAAGGTGGATTTGTTTCATTTTTTAATTTGTGCTTTTTGTGCAGTATCCTAAAGAATAATAAAATCTTGAGAAATCAACGAATTAAAATCGTTCGAACATAAAATTTTGAATGAATCTTCCGGAAGATGACTCATTTCTTGGCTATTTCCGTGTCCACCGCTGATTTTTCTCTACATGCTTTTCTTAAGCGCAAGAAAAACGCCACATATGTTCCTCATTAGTAATGAGGAAACTTTCAACTTTTTGGGAATTACAAATATTTTCATATTTCATAATTCATACACTAGGAATTCTCGATTCGAAAGGCTCAGCTTATCATTCGAAATGGTCAGCTTTAAATGAATGCGAGCTGAACATAAATGGAGGAATTGCAAGTATACTGTATAAACATTTTCGCATATACGGAAAGAAATTTTGTAGTTTGCTGTAACAGTCCCGAATTGAAAATATAAGATTTCTGGATCAAGAGATCTTTTGACGCTGAATACTTATTATAAAAACCTAGATGAATTCATGTGCGGGAATCCGAGTTTCGTGCAAACCCACAGTAAATCGTTAGCAGGAAGAAAATGTACCTTCACTCGTCGGCTTCCGGGGCCAACACAGGAAAACTTCCTCCCTCGCCTTGTTAATCTTTTCATTGCTGCGAATTCAAGTCAGCCCTTCTTTCAGTGAAACTTTCTTGCATGCCTGTGCGATCCGAATTTTCAGACGGTTGAAAGTCTGCGAAAACCGTCTCGTGGCAGATTTAACTCAGGAAGGAAAAAAAAAAAGGTTGAAGATGAATTTGCGAAGTTTACTCCGCTACCAAAGCAACTCTGTCTACGGGTGAATGTAAGTTTTAAAACATCCAAGTAATGATACGTTCTGTTAAATTACGTTTTTCAACTCTTTATTAAGGTAAAACTGCCGAAATTGCACAAGTATATCGTTTCCTCACGCGATCAAGTCCTGCCGTGTTCTGAACCGTACAAAAGTGCAAAGGCAAAGCGAGGCTTTGAAATCTTTCGCCTTTCTCTTTTTTATTTTTTATTTTGCTCCGTGAAGGTACACCCTTAATAATTCGGCAGTTTTTTACTAAGGGCAAACTGCCGAAGAGTAAAAAAGAAAATAAAAAGAAAGAAAAAGTTCGTAAAATACAGTAATGTCACATTGGAAGAAAATCATCCGAAGAAACTTTTGTGCTTCGTATTTTTGACCCTGATGCAAGGTGGATTTGTTTCGTTTTTTAATTTGGGCTTTTTGTGCAGTATCCTAAAGAATAATAAAATCTTGAAAAATCAGCGAATTAAAATCGTTCAAACATAAAAGTTTGAATGAATCTTCCGGAAGATGACTCTTTTCTTAGCTATATTTCCGTGTCCACCGCTGATTTTTCTCTACATGCTTTTTCTAAACGCAAGAAAAACGCCACATATATTCCTCATTAGTAATCGTAAACTTGCAACTTTTTGGGAATTACAAATATTTTCATATTTCATAATTCATATACTAGGAATTCTCGATTCGAAAGGGTCAGCTCATCCATCATTCGAAATGGTCAGCTTAAAATGAATGCGAGCTGAACATAAATGGGGAATTGCAAGTACTGTGTAAACATTTTCGCAAATACGGAAAGAAATTTTGTAGTTTGCTGTAACAGTCCCGAATCGAAAATATTTTCTGAATATTCATAAGTAAAGACCTAGTTCTCTAGAAAACTGCGACTTATGAATAATATTTTTGGATCTACTTAAGTACACGCCCTTAGGCTCAAAGCACGTTTGGGTGTCATTTAGCAATCGTCCTTCTTTTACATGGAAGTGAGAGCAAAAGAAAAAAGAAAAAAATGGAAAGGGGGAAAGATTTCAAAGCCTCGCTTTGCCTTTGTACTTTTGGACGGTTCAGAACGCGACTGGACTTGATCGCGTGAGAAAACGACATACTTGTGCAATTTCACGCGAAATGGTTGAACCTGCCGTGAATGACGAGAAAAAAATTGTCAAACGCAGCAGCTTTCGCGAGAAGAACAATTTTCTTACTCGCGCTTCCTGAATTGCCCACGAGAATTTAGAGCAGTTGAAGGGAATCCGCTTCAGTTGCTGAATTTCCTACGAAATCACTTCATTGAAGTTTGGCTCCGTCATCAAACAAAAGTCGAAGGAAACTTTCTTTTCCTTCCCTCAAAATAAAAGACTGACGTTGTAGAAGAAAAGAAAAAAAGAGAAGAAGGTTCTTGCACCGTTTTTCTTTCATTGATGCATCCACGTTCAAAAAGTTGCTCTGCTCTTTCTTGACGCGCGCAACCGGGGCTCTTGAACATTTTCTCTCTCCTTGCCTTTTCGATTCTCTTCGGAGTACATAATTCGATTTTCGGGAGGAAAAGTATGAATCTCGAGTGCTGGTCGAAGAGACGATGTGAATGCCATGTCTGTTAAATTATTTCAAAGTCTGAATTTTCCACGTTCTACCGGGAATCAACAAAAGTTCCTGGCGTCAGCTTTGAAAAAGGCTTCAAATACGGATGGTCCGTGAAAGATTCAAACACTCTTTCTTGAAGCTTGATCACATCCGACACCAATTTATCCCACGCAAAGATGCCTCTCATGTTTTCGAGAGAAGAATTGCGCTTAAAATTGCCGAAAGCAGTGCAAAATTTAATGTTTTGCGAACACGCGCGATTCCGGGAAAACTTCCCCTTTTCATAAGTGAGTGAATTCGGGGTAAGCTAAAAGCTTCCATTATGACTATTCATTAACTTCATTATAACCGAAGGTGCGAAATATTATTCTCTGGAAAGATATTTGCATGCATCATCACTGAAACTATTATCACAAATAAAAGGCAAGGATCAAATAAAAAGTTTCAGTACCTATAATACCAAATAGTCTATTTCAACTGTCGGAAAAAGAATAGCGTTTATTCCGTGAAAATATCAGAGTGCAATTTTTCAGAATTGCGCACGAAAAGAAAAAGACGGGTCTCGTGAAAGAGATGTAGAATAAATGGACGAAATATTGCATCAAATGAAATAAAAATTTATTTAATCAACTACTGGCGTCGGAACTTACGTGAACTCGACGTAGCCAAAGCGAGAGTTTTCGGGTAATGGTCGATGAAGCGTTTGATGACATCGATTTGCTCCAAAATAATTTGCACAGCATTGTAATCCTGTGAACCACATGGCGCGTAAGCTGACCAAAACTGGAAAAGAAAATACAGTTGATAAATCGAACCTTCCTGAGTCACATATCTTCTCCAAGTCCAATTTTTTCAAGTCCCCGTCTGAATTTCCTTAGAAAATATGCATTAAAATGTTTCCAACTGAAAGGCGTTTCCTCTCAAACCCCCGTTACTCAAAATTGCTGAGTCCTTTCGGCTATTCTTTTCTTGACACAGCAAAGAGAAAAGCAATAGAAAACTGACGATGTGTTTTGAAAGGAAGTGAAAGACTATATAATTGGACAAGTGAACCCCTCCCCTGACTCTGATTTGATCATTATGTCAACACATTTAAGAATAAATTCAAGGCCCAGAATATCATCAGTTACAATTTCCTGCAATTTTCCTGGTTTCCCTTAACAAAATGCTGGACTCAAAACCTCCAGCAAATTTTTTTTCCAGGTCCCTTGAAATTAAACGAAGAGAGGTTCGACTGCACCGTCTTTCAAACGAGTTTCATGTTTTTTTTTTTCAAGAAGCTCGCATTTAAAAAATCGGAATTTCTCTGGGAAAATCTTACTTGAGCTCCAACGAGTCCAGCTTTGAGCCGAACGAGGTCTGTTTGTGACCACGGGCTTTTACTCCATGGATGGGAGTGTGTGGCCAGGAAGTCAGAGGAAAAGTTCACATTTCTCAGCTGGTTCTGTTTGAATTGCCGTATGTTCCATGCCAGGTCATTGTGCCTTGAATTTGGAAAAAAATAACAACGTGAACATTATAAAAATGAACCGTGAAAAAAACCAAGAAGCCACACTCCACATTCGGCAACTCTTCATGCCAATGGTCAGGGACAGGATAAATGGATGTTTATTTCGCAAGCTGACCTGAGCAACAGCAAAAATAGACATGTCACACGACATTTCACAGTTCAGGTTTATTTTTAGGCGAGTTAACTTCATTTCTCATGGACTTTTGCTTCTGACGCACTGATTTCTTTGTAACCACTTCTCCAAGTAAGAAAACATAAGTGCATACAAGGAGGCTTTTAAAATAATATCAAATACATTTCATCTCTTTTGGGACAAAATACAATATATTTTCTCAGACCTCAAAGGGCTTCATATGAAAAGTGCGCCTCTTTGATTTTCAGGCCAAAAATTTTTGGAAAAAATCATGCTTGGTTAAAAGGCTAACCCAACTTTTTCAGTGTCTAAAAATTTTTGATGGTGCAAAAATAAACTGCGCAGGAAATCGAACTGAGGCCTTAATTGATGCCTGATCAAGTATAAATCTCATCGCGGCTCTGGAAAAGAAACCACGTTTTAATGTCAAGATCAAGACTCAAAATACATTCATATTGAATTCTGTCTCCAATCTATTCTCTTTGAGACCCTGTAAGTATTCATGATTCATTTTAGCTCTCGATGTAAAGTGATTTTTTGAGTAAACACAAACTTTTTTTTTTTGGCGCGGAACGTCTTTCGCAGATGCTGGCGTCTTGGCTGCTGCTAAAAAGCTTTCTTGTTTATCAAATACAACTATACAGAGGTACGGGATAAACAGCAGATACACTTTTGCAATGTGAATATAAATTGTACCCGCCTTTTTCTCAAGGTTATCTGCGTGGAAGAAGCATTGCTTGTTCGATGTGAAATCTTACATTGCGAAAAGGCAGACATCCCGCTTTTTGCTATCGAGGCTACAGTATATATGTAGATGACAGCGAAAGGAGTGATGTTTTTCAAGTTCTCCGAGACCGTATCTGGCCTCACATTTGCATAAAAGTGCTCACTCTACAAATAAGAGCGCTAATGCGCGTAAGGACTCGCTTCCGAGCCGCGTAAACGTACTACTGCTTGTGCTGAGCACCATTAAAACGATGTACGAGTAAAACATTTTTTCTTTTTAAAAAACAACCGGATGCAAGAATACTGTATGTACAAATGCCTCGCATACAATCCCTGAATCCGCAAACGATGTTAGCATTGACCATAAAATACACAGAGAAATCAATACCACGGTTTTTACCAAAAGTAAGGAGTTTTACCGTATTTACATTGGCACCAAAAATCATTAAGGCCTTTGCATATACAGTAATACAAGCATTCCAGGCCGTTTCATTTTCAGATTAGGTTAGGCACAAATTTCATGAATTTCAAAGTACAGTACAGCTTTTTTTGTGGAATGCATGATGAAAAAAAGTGCATTCGACCAATATAAAAAAGTTTTTGGAATACTGCCAGAATCCTTTTAGCAATACTGTAGAACTATGCTAAATATGGGCCACAAAACCCTGTAGAAATACTGTATACATATCTTCATTCTGACCAGGGTCGATCCCGAATAAGACGCAACCCATTTTCCACATAGAACCTCATACGGCATGAGTGTTTTTTTTTTCTTTTCGATAGGTGAATCAAAAATACAGTAGCTTTAAATTTCGTTTAATTTTCTCGACAAAGAAACAGCGCTCGAGCAACGAAAATGAGGAAAAAATTCCATTATTTCGCTGAATACCTCGGAAAACCTTGTTGACGCACCCGTCGGGTTTTGAGGCTTTCTAGAGTGGCTGAATGAAAGCTTTGCTCAGCGACAATTGGATAAGCGCCGGCGTCGTTTTCTTTCCCAATTGTGCCACATGGGTATATATAGTCTGTGCGAAGGGAAACAAAAATCCCGCCACTGCTGGGCACCTCAAGAGAACCCATTATACTCACCACATATGCTTCGTTATATAGTGCGGAGCATCGAAGCCAACGAGGTGACAGAGGCGAAACCATATCCAATATCAGGTATATACGGCATGCTACCTCGTCTATACAGAAGACCCGCTAGCCTTATTTTTTCTCCAACAATGAGACAGGTCCTTTATTAATAACTTTTCCAGCATAATGAGCATTTTGATTATTTTGTGTACAGTATTAATAAATCGGTGAACATAATTAAATGCGGTGACCCCATAGGAAAGCAGCTCAGAATCTTAGCTGCAAGATTAAAAAAAATTAAAGCTACGCCAGTTGAACCTCTATAACTTTGAACCTCCGCACATTGATTACATCTCTAAGTTGATTTTTCTTTAATTTCTTGCCTGAAATACCTTAGAAACAAAGCATTGAAAACCTCTCCAAGTCACTGTTGTCGCATCCCAGTGACGCAGCTCCAGAATCCAGTTGCAACCAGACCCAAAAACTTGTTGTATCTCTGAGGCCAGTGAGCCTCCCAAAAATCCTGTTTTTGCATGACTCACTGAGCCTCACTCAAGGACAAGAAGTGGTCATCACTTCTTCGATTTTCTTGATATTGGCCAATCCTGAGCCAGTCCAAGCACCTGGGTATAATTCCTCTTTGAGAGGATAAGTAAGAACCTAGTGTTAAAGGGCCTTTTAACTTTAATTACTGCATTCATTATTCTGAGCTTACCATTGACTCTGCCATTAAAACCATTGAATTAATAGCCAATTGATGAACTGGGCAATGAGAATGAACTCCTCTGAAAAGAGTTTCAGTTCTTATTCAAAACTTGCATTCTGATGGCTGCACAATTCAATTCCTTTGTCTGGGATCCAATGGATCCATGACAACAGTATTTTCCTCTCGAACCTGGAAAAGCGGAATTTTCTGAGGTCGTTTTTGTGATTATTGTCTTGACACAGGAAAGAGAAAAGCAATAAAAAAGTAACCATGTATTTTGAAAGGAAGTGGAAAACTAATTGAGCAATGAAACCCTGCCTCCAAGTTCAGCGCTCTGTAAACTCATGCAAGAAGCAATTTAAGGCCCAGACTATCCCCATTTACACTTTCCTGAAATCATTTTAAATTTCCCAGAACACAACTGCTTGTTTCTTAACTCAAAACCTCCCTAAATCAAAGCCTCCTTAAGTCGATTTTTTTTCTGGTCCTTTGAAATTCGACTTAGAGAGGTTCAACATTAATTGTATGGAAAAAGGGCTCAAATAAAAATCCATATGTTTAGTTTACAAGGCATAGTAAATAAATAAAAGGATTTTGAAAAAAATGCATTGAACATTTTTTTCGGGTAATGCGTAAATTTTTCTTAGAAATAAATAATTCGGTTTCCAAAGTAGAGGGATGAACCCTAATTGTAGGGAGAATTCTTCACAGCAAGAATTATTTACGAATAAGGATTTGATCCTCTGGTAGAATTCACCACGTTCACACTATATTATGGATCTATAAGGAGTTCTCATAACGAGATATTTACTACCGTTTCTCCGAAGGGGAAATATGTGCTACGTGCCTTTGTGGAAAATGAGCTGGTCTCTGCTGCACGAGTAAATGCAAGTTAGCAGATTTAAAAGATGAATCACCCTTGGTATGAATTCCATGGGAAATTTTGAAAATAAAATTAATCTGAACTTCGAAGAATGGTATGCAGTTGAGGAGTGGAAAAGACGCGTCACGGTTTTTTCGTTGATCGACGAATAAGAATTTTTTTTTTAAATATTTTCTCGCGATTCCTTCTAAAAAAAAAGTTCCACTGAGCCAGAAAATTAAAGCATTATTTTAAACCTCCAAAACGTTCGCAAGGATCAAATTTATCGTGGCATTTCGATTAGATACTGTGCAGCATTTCCGATTCTAAAAAAAAAAAAAAAAATCCCGGGAACTTTGCCTTGGTCTCCATTGCATTTCAGTCGGATGCGTAACCTTAAATTTATAGACGGAAGTTATTCACGTATCACGGGAAAATAAGTCAGGATTTTCCGCTTTATGTTCATCGAACGACGACACGTAATGCATAAATTGAGCCTCAACCTCCACTCGACTATCCCTCGGTGGACAGTCCGATTTAACGCAACGCGGAAGATCGTTTCACCTCTTTTTATGTTTCATTCTGGAAATTGTCCCACTCTTGTTACATTTATTTTTATTTTAGTAAGATGCACACCTTTCTCCTGCAAATGTATACAAAAAATTGCATACGTGTCGTAGAAAATGCTCGAATTGCAGATTTTAATTTTAGAACGTCAAAAAGCCACAATTGAGAATAAAATCAAAATGTTATGAATGAGATTTTTTTATTTTATTTTGAAAATTAAACCTTTGCTTCCATTGCTTAATAGACAAGTTGTACTATACATATACTGGAAATCCTGATCAAATTATACATGGTAAAATGGTAGTAAAAATCCCTGACGCGTCCCTTGATGAAGCGACAATAATATGATGGGGTTGTATTTTTCAGACTCCAGAAACCCTTGATGATTAATCCTAATTGGTTTCCAAATTCACGAACCATCCCTCTGAATTAGTGCTGGAATAAGTCAGACCTCGAGGAAATCCCACGCTCCCCCCACCCCCCGTAATGATCCAACTCATACACCTGGCCTCACTCGTGATTTCTTCAGCTGCTTAATCACGGGGAATTCCGGCAGCTTCCTTAATTTCTCCTTTCTTCTCGGTCTCCCCAAACCACCGGCAATTGGCGGGAAAACGACGTCGATTTTCCGTCGCTGGACGGGTTCGGGTACTTTGGTGGAACCCGTTTGAAGGTCCGACTAAAGCCCTACTCCACGTGCGGAGTGCTGTGGCGGTGCTTTATTGAGCAGTGAACTAGATCAGGACGGGTGCCAGGTCTTCTGGCCGCCAATGTTTCGTCAGCATAATTCACTTCTGAATAAATATATGTCAGGGATGGAAAAAGAAAAGAATCGAGCGTTGAAGAAAGGACAGCGATTCATGTTTCATTAGCGCATGGGTGCAGTTTAAAACAGCCATGCTTGAAAAAATTACAGTTAGGCCTTCAACAATTTTCTTCTAGGAATGTGCCGAAGCTCTTCCCAAGAGCTGGTAGTATATTTCATATTTTAAAAAATTAAAAAAGGAAACTGACGTAATTCGAATTTGAACGTTTGGGGACCTGGGACATACTTTCTTGGAAAAATTATGCCTGGTTAAAGAGTCTAAAGATAGAGATTCATTATAACGATATTTATTGCTATAAGAGGCTTTTATGTAGATGCGATTATTGCTTCAAATAAGTTAATGAAACTCAACATGAATTTTCAAAGAACTGGTCATAAATGGGGGTTATTTTGGAAGAGGTTTTACGCAGAAGGTGTACTTTTAATCTTCTAACTGCAGTAAAAGGCATTGTATGTCAATTTTGTACTGTAGGGAATCAATGCTATTTATTGCAGGCTCAACTGCACCTCCCTCAGTCATTTGAAAGTCACAAAATCGGATGGCTGAATAACTATCCTAATTCTTTGCTGGGTCCAGTCCATAGCATAGAAGACATTTGAATGTTTTATAATGAATTCATCCTTCAGTGTTCAAACTTTAAACTTCGTCTTTTTGTCCACCTTGAATCTGAAAAAAAGGAAATGGAAAAGCCTCCGAAAGTCTCAAGGCTTCTTAGAATTTTTAAAATTTTATTTTTAGGTAACAACCGTTTTCAAAAGCCTAGTTTTAATTGATAGCAACTGAATGATCTCGTCGGTTGTTCGCCGTCACCAAAAATTTGCATTACCGGTTCTGCTTGTTACTGCAGTGCGAATAATAAAATAATGTAGTGCCTCTGCGAGCCCACGAATAGAAGAAATCATTAAAAAGCATCATAATGTCGTCTATCATAATTAATAACTAAAATGCCAC